GGGTCTTTCAAACCCAGGTGCTAGGTTCATTGGAACGCAGCATGCTTGGGTTCGCAAAGAACCCAAGCATTGGGTACCTTCGAACCCAGGCGCTAGGTTCGGTGGAACCCAACATGCCTGGGTTTGAAATGGGTTCACAAAGAACCCAGGCACTGAGTTCCTTCAAACCCAACAGTTGGGTTTCGAACCCCAGCACACCTGGGATCAATGGAAACCAGGTGCTAGGTTTAGTGGAACCCAACATGCCTAGGTTCGGTGGAAATCCATTTCTTTACCTTGACTTTAGATTTTCATGGGGCAAAAGCCCCTATTTGCACCCTTCATTTATTTTTTTTTCACGGTCAACACCTTTCAGAATTTTTCCTCCCTATTCACACCCTCAATTTTTCAAAACCCGTAAAAAACCCAACATTTTAATGCGCCGTCACGGTACCGTTACAAAATGTGACATGGCCACTTTGTGCCGTTAATAATCCAATGTGGATGCCTTTTTTTGATGATGTGGCTTGACATGCATAATTTTTATGTGAAAATTCCCCAACAAAAAAAAATATAAAAAAAAAAGGACCTTTGGGTTCCTCACGACGAGGAACTCGATCTGGGTTCCTCCGGAGGAACCCGACTCTGGGTTCCTCATCATGAGGAACCCATGATCTTTCTCCTTCTAATCATCAGCTTGATCTGAGTTACCTTCTCTCCCCACAGAACTGCTAGCTAATGATGGATCCATGTTTTCTGAAGACTCACCAAACTCCTCTCTGTACATTTCTTCAATCATTGGCTTCCATAGCCGAACCCGAGCATTTATAAACCAATTCGATACCTGAGTTAACCCCAATAACAATCAAAATTCATACAAAAAACAAAGGATTCAGGACTAAACTCAAACATAATTATCTCAAATGTTTTTACTTGGTTCTTAGTCAATCTTGTTTGTGATGCCAACATCAATTTCTCCGACTCGGTTGGATAACTGCTCGAATCTCCTCCGGAGGAACCCATGAGGAACTGGGTTCCTCCGGAGGAACCCAGCTCGAATCCGATCTGGGTTCCTCACAAGGAACCAGAGCTCCTGTTCTTTTTTATTTTTTTTTATTTTTATTTTTTGGGTGGGAAATTTTCACAAAAAAATATTCCATGTCAAGCCACATCATCAAGAAAAGGCATCCACGTTGGATTACTAACGGCACATAGTGGCCACGTCAATTTTTGGGTGCCAGTAGTGCATTTTGTAACGGTACTGTGACAGCGCGTTAAAATGTTGGATTTTTTACGGGTTTTAAAAAATTGAGAGTGTGAATAGGGAGGAAAAATTCTGGAAGGTGTTGACCACGAAAAAAAAATAAATGGAGGGTGCAAATAGGGGGTTTGGCCTTTTCATGGTGTGAAATTTTGGGGAGACGTGTGTGAGATTGTTAGGAATCTAGAGATATATCTATTTAGTTTTTTTCTTTTCTTTTTGTGCAAAGAGTAGCCATGGCATCTTCGGATACATGCTCATGTCTCCTTTTTGTGCAAAGAGCTTGCAGAGCAACTGAAGGAAGCTGGGAACATGCTCATGAATCCTCCTCCTTCAGTCTATGAGCTTCTCCCTTTTCTGGATGTAAGCCCTAATCTAGACACTTGTCTTCTCCGTTTTGTGATATTTTGTGTCTTGCTGTCGTTCTTGATATCGAACCCCGATCCTGGGTTCCTTGGAACCCATGCACAAAAAAAAAAAAAATTGTTTTTGGTTTTTGGGTTTTGTTGTTTGATGATGATCATGGAGAACCCAATAAGGGTAGAAATTGGTTGAAATGAATAGATTAGTTGAGATGTTAGGGATTGTAGAAGTTGAAGAAAGGAAAGAGGAAAGAGAAAAATGCAAAAAAAAAATTTTGGGTGGGATGAGTTGGAATGACCATGTCATCTATTTTTGCCAACTTATCAATTTTTGTGTGACACATAATGCTTCTTTTGTCTTCCTCTATCAATTAATGTGAAAAATTAATGGAAGGATCAAATTGAAGTTAAAATGATAAACAGTAAAGACAAAATTATGGATTTTTTTAGTTTAAAGATTAAATTAGAGGTTTGTACAATAGTTTAGGGACCAAAATGAGATTTTAACCTTTATTATATAAGGAACAATTTAAAGCTGTACAAGTTTTTAATTTAGTTAGTTAAATTATATTGTATAATTATAAAATAAAAATGAAATAAAAAATATTGTCAATATAATTAATATTATAGTATAATAATTTAAAAAATATTATACTATAAAAATAAAACATTAAAAGAAGAAAAGAAAAAGAAAAATGATTAGCTCTTTTTTCAGTTTTTAGATCAACACATTTATTAATACTTACAGATCCAGTCATTAACTTTTACAATTAAATTTTTTTTATCTTAAATTTAAATTTAAAAATAATAATTTTTTAATAAAT